TCAGTCCAGAGGCTGAGCCGATAGTTGGCAGCCAGCACAGCCACATGGTTACATATGAAAAGGAAGATGCCGAGAAAGGAGATGAAGAGGCTGATGGCCTTCATGTAGTCCCAGTACACAGAAAGCTTGACCTGGACACCATGGGAGATAAGGCATTTTAGCACATGCACACACTCAGCCCAGCTGCACACGGTCAGGGCTTCACCAGCACTGCACACCCAGCTGCCTGCCTTTGCTCCTACCTGGCACACCCTCGCATTTAGCGATTCCACAAAGTCAGCAGTAACAAAGTCGAGGGCCAGCACGGTGGCTCACGCATGTAATCCCTTGGCACTCTGGGGGGCCGCGGCAGGTGGATCAACTGATGTCAGGAGTTCGAGACCAGCATGGCCAATATGGCAAAACCCCTTCTCTACTAAAAATAGAAAAAATTAGCCAGTTTTGGTGGCAAGCGCCTGTAATCCCAGCTAATTGGGAGGCTGAGGCCTGAGAATCGCTTGAACCCAGGAGGCAGATGTTGCAGCAGGGAGCCAAGACTGTCCCACTGCACTCCAGCCTGGGTGGCAGAGTGAGACTCCATCTCAAAAACAAGAACAACAGAAGCCAAACTTGAGGTCTCTGCCCTGATGCATGGAGCTTCCGGCCATGTGGAGAGACGGGCTCCCATCAAATCATCCCAGATAAATGCATCATCACAGAGAAGGGCTGTAAACGGCACCCGATTCCATGTCAGTCAAAAATTGGGCATCCCGACCTAACACAGCGTGGAGAGGTATTGGGGGAGGTTTTCGTTGAGGAAGTGACATTAAAGAGTTAAACCAAATCTGGGTGTGATGGCTCACACCTGTAATCCCAACACTTTGGGAGGTCGAGTCGGGTGGATCACCTGAGGTCAGGAGTTTGATATCAGCCCCCCTATGGTGAAACCCCATCTCTACTAAAGTATAAAAATTAGCTGGGTGTGGTGGCAGGCACCTGTAATCCCAGCTACTTGGGATGCTGAGGTAGGAGAATCGCTTGAACCCGGAAGGCAGAGGTTGCAGTGAACTGAGATAGTGCCATTGCACTCCAGTCTGGACAACAAAGACTCTGTCTAAAAAAATAGAGTATTGGTTGGGCGTGGTGGCTCATGCCTGTAATCCCAGTACTTTGGGAGGTAGAGCCAGGTGGATCACCTGGAATCAGGAATCCAAGACCAGCCTGGCCAACATGGTGAAACCTCTTCTCTACAAACATACAAAAATTAGTCGGGTGTGGGGGCATGTGCCTGTAGTCCCAGCTACTCAGGAGGAGGGTAAGGCACAAGAGTCACTTGAACCCAGAAGCGAAAGTTGCAGTGAGCCAAAATTGCGCCACTGCTCTCCAGCCTGGGTGACAGTGGGAGCCTCTGCCTCCAGGAAAAAAGAAGAAAAAGAGTTAAACCAGCTGAAAATGGAAAAAGGCTGGCAGAACCAACATGTGCAGAGGCCTGGAGGCAGGAGGGAACACAGCGCATCTGGGGAACTGAGAGAAGGCACGGGCGGCTGGAGCTAGATCACGGGGCAGTGAGGAGTGAGGCTTGGGAAACCGGCTGCAGCCAGTCCACACATGACATGGGAGACTCAGGTCAGGATTCCAACTTTTATGCCAAGACTGGCAGAAAAGAGAAGCCACCAATGAGCTTCAAGCAATGTGTGACATGTTGCCCAGCAACCAAGGTCAAGCGTCGCCTCCACGCCACAATTGGGCCAGCTCCTTTCACTCTGAGCACAGAATACCAACTCACCCATGTCCCCAGTGCCCAGCTCCCTCCAGGAGGCAAAGGTTGGAGTTTCCTTCCTTGGTTTATTCGCTGGGGAGCCCCGCATGGCGCTAAACAAATCAGTCTAGTCACCTGACATGTAAGATGGCAATCTGCTTTAGGCCAGCCCCTGCCTAAGCCACCTGGCTTGCTTTCAAGAAACTCCAGGTCTCTTTACCCGTGTCTATGCTCACTGTCATTTCAATCTTTTCATGCTGAATTTTGAGTCGTAAAAATCATCTGGACTGGGCGCAGTGGCTCATCCCTACAATTCCAGCACTTTGGGAGGCCAAGGCAGGAGAATCGCTTGAGCCCAGGAGTTTGAGACCAGCATGGAAAACACAAGAAGACCCTATCCCTACAAAAAATTTTAAAATTAGCTAGGCATGGTGGTCTACACCTACAGTCCCAGCTACTCAAGAGGCTGAGCTAGGAGGATCGCTTGAACTCAGAAGCTGGAGGCTGCAGTGAGCTATGGTCACACCACTGCACTCCATTCTCAAAAAACTAAATATATAAAATAATAAATAAATAAATGTCAGGCATGGTGGTGCACGCCTGTAATCCCAGCTACTAAGGAAGCTGAGGCACGAGAATCGCTTGAACCCAGGAGGTGGAGGTTGCAGTGAGCTGAGATGATCCCTCAGGTACTAAACATTGCTAAGCACAAAAACAGACAGTTTCACCTGCTCACTGAATTAAGGGCCAGGTCAGTGGAGGAGCTTCTTGATTCAAACTCGGTCCTCCTCCCGAGGCTCTGCCTCTCCCACGGTGTCTCTGGCAACCTGCTCGCCTGGCAACCTCCAGGAACACAAAGGTGGGCTTCCTTCTTCCATGAAAGGAAGCCAAGCCAAGCGATCAGCAGAGGCGTGGGTGATGAGGAATGCTGAAGCCCACGCTACAAACGTGGCCTTCATAGCAGGTGAGGCTGAAGGAATCCAGGTGATAGGTGATGTTAGCAGTCAACTTGACGGGGTTAAGGAATACACAGATGGCTGGTAAAGTGTTATTTCTGGGTGTGTGCCTGTGAGGGTGTTTCCAGATGAGACTGACATTTGAATCAGTGGACTGAGTAAGGAGGATCCATCCTTGCCCCATGTGGATGGGCACCACCCAATCAGCAGAGGGTCCAGACACAAGAAAAAGTCAGAGAAATGGCAAACTCATGTGATCTCTCTTCTGTAGACAGGATGTCATCCTCTCCTGCCCCTGGACATCAGAACTCCAGGCTGTCTGGCTTCTGGACTCTGGGACTTACCCCAGTGACTCCAGGTTCTCAAGCCTTTGGTTGTGGACCGAGAATTCCATCAGCTTCCCTGGGTCTGAGATCTTCAGACTTGGCCTGACCCATGCTACCAGCTTCCCGGGTTCTCCAGCTTGCAGATGGCCTAGCATAGGACTTCTCCATAATCACATGATCCAATTTCCTTAGATCTCTTCTCATCATCAATCCATCTACTCATCCATCATCTATCAAACATCCATCAATCATCCATCTATTACCTATCCATCCACCTATCATGTATCCATCCATCTATCCATCATGTACCATCTACCTATCATCTACCAATCTATCATTTATCCATCCATCCATCCATCCTACTAGTTCTGTCTCCATGAAGAACTGTAATAAACACGGACGCCACCTCTGCCTGCCAATGACCCTCAACTGGGCCATGGACATGGGCCATTTCCGTACAGTGCTCAGCCACGGAGGCCCAGGCTGTATCTGCCTCCCACAAGACAATTTCTCCCATCACCTGGACCACCCAAACAGCCTCCCACGAGGGTCACGAGGTCCTCTGCTGATGTCCTAGTGGCTGGCATCATGGATGTCCCAGATTTCCACCCACCATCTGGGTCTGACTGAAGGCCTGTATCCTGGGCATCCCCGGTATAGAATGAGGAACTGAAACCCGGGTCTGGGGCTTTTCTCTGTAAAGCCAACGGGTCTGTGGGGAATCCAAGGCACTAGGCTGGCCCTGTCACGGCTTGCCATAATAAGCTTACCCTGGAACAGGCAACAGAAACAAAACAGCCACCCTACTGCCCCCATGGCCACAATCCACTGCCCCCACATCACTTGCAATTTCATGTTCCAGCTCGTCCGGGCTCGGGATGTGTCTTGCATCCTTGTGTAATCGGCAGTTGCTTTTCTTCTTGTTACACAGAATAATAACCTATTGTGCAACTGATGGTATCTCAGATTTGAAGGGTTAAGGTATGTGCAGTGGAGGCCCTGACCTAATTTCCAAAAGAATGACAGAGGTGGTGCAGTGGGGCATGCCTTACGTAGGGGGTAGAGTCTAAAATCCAGTACAGCCAGAATCACCCACAAATGGGGCTTCTTTGGTTAAACTAACATACATGGTCAGCTGGGTGGGCTGGACGGAAACACTTCAAACAGCAGGAACACGGGGGATGCCAGATGCTCAGAAAGAGACAGAAAAAGTGAGACTGACTCACGGAGGGACAGTCACGTGCCATGGCAAACAGCATCAACTGCCCGCTTGGCTAGTGTTTTTCTCTCTTCTTTTCTTTTCTTGAGACAGAGACTTGCTCTGTCTCCCAGGCTGGACTGCAGTGGTGCGATCCTGGCTCACTGCAACTTCCACCTCCTGGGACCAAGCGATTCTCCTACCTCAGTCTCCTAAGTAGCGGGGATTATAGGCACCCACCACCACACCCAGCTAATTTTTTAATTTTTAGTAGAGATGGGGTTTCACCATGTTGGCCAGGCTGGTCTCGAACTCCTGACCTTGTGATCCACCCAACTTGGCCTCCCAAAGTGCTGGGATTACAGGTGTCAGCCACCATGCCCAGCTTCTTGCTTCTTTTCTACCCAGTTGCCTTAATGACTCACGAGATTTTACCCCATTTGGCAGAAAAGCAAACTGAGGCCTGGAGGAGAAGCAAGAGCCACAAAGCTTTTAACATTGCCAGGGCTACAGCCTGGATTCAGGCCACAGGGGCAGGAAGTAGGAAACCGGGGCATCCTGGAGGACAAGGAAACTCACACTTACTTCCTAGACTTAACGCATTCTTTCTTTCAGTTATTTCCCAAAACAGGCACGACTTGTTCGAACGTGCCCTCCTTATTTAAGGACCAGAGGCCACTGCTCTCCAGGGACTGGTGGTAGCCCCGGACGATCAACCTGAAGCCAAGACACAAGGGGTTAGGCAATGAGAGTCAATGAGAGGAGGAGGAGGAGGAGGATGGGGCTCACTCACTTCACAGGCATGCCGATGCTGCGCCCCCGCCCAGCACAACTGCCTGCTGCGAACGAAGGCAGCCACGCAGCTGGGAATGTCTGAATGTGGACAGACATCTGCACATATTACAAGGTTATTACAGCTCATTCTGTTGGGTCATGCAGGAAAAATGGCTTTCTTTTGGGGGAGTGTGTACAAAGATTTAGGGAAAAAAGATTATTTAGGAGGGAAATATCAAGACGGCTTGAATTCACTGTTATCATTCATTCTTTTTTTTTTTTTTGGATTTTTGTTGTTTTGAGACAGAGTCTCGCTATGTGGCCCAGGTTGGAATACAGTAGTGTGTTCTTAGCCCACTGCAACCTCCACCTCCCAGTTTCAAGCAATTCTCCTGCCTCAGCCTCCCAAGTCTGGGACTACAAGCGCACGCCACCACGCCTGGCTAATTTTTTGTATTTTAGTAGAGACGGGGTTTCACCATGTTGCCTAGGCTGGTCTCAAACTCCTGAGCTCAGGCAATCCGCCTGCCTTGGCCTCCCAAAATGCTGGGATTACAGGCACGAGCCACCATGCTCGGCCTCATTCCTTTATTTTATTTGGTGACAAGGTCTCGTGTCACTCAGGATGGAGTACAGTAGCACGATCACGGCTCCCTGCAGCCTCCAGCTCCTGGCCTAGAGTGATCCCCCTACCTCAGCCTCCCAAGTAGCTGGGACTTCAGCTGTGAGCCATTATGACTGGCTGACAGAGTCTCCCTATATTGCCCAAGCTGGTCTTGAGCTCCTGGGTTCAAGCAATCCTCCCACCTTGGCCTCACAAAGTGTTGGGATTATAGCTGTGAGCCACCACGCCCCACCAACTTTTTAAAATTTTACATTAAAAAAGGCTAATATGGGCCAGGCCCAGCAGCTTATGCCTATAATCCTAGCACTTCGGGAGGCTGAGGTGGGAGGACTTCGTAAGCCCACAAGTTCAAGACCAGCCTGGACAAATAGGGTGACTATCTCTATAAAAAGTAAAAATTTTAAAAATTACCCAGCCATAATGGCTCACACTTGTAGTCCCAGCTACTCGGGAGGCCGAGGTGGGAGGATGGCTCGAGGCCAGCAGATGGAGACTGTTGGGAGCTGTGACTGTGTCACTGCAATCCAGCCTGGGCAACAGAGCCAGACCCTATAAAAAAGAAGAAAAAAAAAACAGGTTGAGCGGAAGAAGAAAAAAAAAAAAGGCTGACATAACAAAGCATTAGCAATCATGAAATCTGGATGATAAGCTTATTGAGTTTTTTACATTAGTCTTTCTACGTCACTCTACCCAGGCTGGAGTACAGTGGCGTGATCTTGGCTGACTGTAACCTCCGCCTCCTGGGTTCAAGCAATTCTCCTGCCTCAACCTCCCAAGTAGCTGGGATTAGGCACCTGCCACGCCCCCTCCCCACTAACTATTGTATTTTTAGTGAAGACACGGTTTCACCACGTGGGCCAGGCTGATCTCAAACTCCTGACCTCAGGTAATCCACCCACCTTGGCCTCCCAAGTAGCTGGGACTTCAACTGAACACTTTAATAACAAAAAGTTAAACACTTTCATTTTTTGTTTTAAAATAATTTCAGACTTATAGAAAAATTACTCAAATCATACTAAGAATTCACTCAATTCACCAGTATTAACATGTTGCAAAGTTTACAATATCATTCTGTCTCTATCCATTCACACACACACACACACACACACACACACACTCACACACACACACTCACACACATCATCATCTTTTTCTAAACCATTCAAATAGTTAAAGGTCTAGCACAGTGGCTCACACCTGTAATCCCGGCACCTTGGGAGGCTGAAGTGGGTGGATCACCTGAGGTCCAGGAGTTTGAGACTAGCCTGGCCAACATGGCGAAACCCCATCTCTATTAAAAATACAAAAATTAGCCAGGTGTGGTGGTACAGGCCTGTAATCCCAGCTACTAGGGAGGCTGAGACAGGAGAATCACTTAAACCCAAGAGGCAGAGGCTGCAGATCACGCCACTGCACTCCAGCCTGGACAACAGAGCAAGACTCTGTCTCAAAAA